TCAAGGTAGAAAATGTTTGATCATGGCAGTAAAAAGATATCAAGGTAGAAGGTAGAAAATGTTACATCACGAACTGTAAAATTATATCAAGGTGAAAAATAACAATGGTTGGTTGATGCTATCACAGGAACATTTTATCATATGTCACACCACATTAAACATTCCGTTTACAAATAATTTTGAAACAAATGGCGCACCATAATTGTCCAGCACGGAAGACGAGCAATTTGGCTATAGAACATTACTTTAAAAGGGGATTTTGTTATGAGACCATCGTTCAATTTCTCTTTCTGGTAGCTCAGATGTTTTCACCAGGGCAATTAGTCTGGGCAAAGATGTGGGGCTACCCACCCTAGCCTGCAAGGGTAAGTAGTTTGAAATCAAAGCAAACCTTTTTATGCCGCTTAGCTTTGTGGAACTCAACTCTTTCATTTGCTGTTTTCTTGTCTCCATTTAGATTGATCTTCCTGCACCAGAAGAAAGAATGCATGCAAATAAATTTCCTATCTTCTTCTTCGGAACACGCGAAACGTAAGAACACATAAGCGTTTTTGTTCTCTCGCATTATATGAATTATCCAGCTTGCACAACACCATCTGTGGAAATTTGATTGTTTGTACCCTTTTGTTCATCTTACTGGCTAAAATACTCAGCAGAGTCATTTGTGATTTTTCCATTCTCAGCCATGACTGATCAGTTTACATCATTATTTTCAGTTTATACTAGGTCTTTCTATAACAACACTTTGCAAAATGACAACAGTCACTGGGTATGACTTGCAGTTGTATCTGAAGTACAGAAACAGCATTTGAAAAAAAAGAAACAGAAATAAGAAAGTAGAGAAATTCAAGGACTCTTCAAGACCTTATAAAGAAATCAAGTACTTTTCAAGGACCTTAACCGAATTCAAGGACGTTTCAAGATGACTGATAAAATTCAAGACCTTTTCAAGATTGTACAAACCTTGTTACCAGTTGGTTATATTCCATAACGAGGTTTAAGACACAAGTACATTCATNAGGGCAATTAGTCTGGGCAAAGATGTGGGGCTACCCACCCTAGCCTGCAAGGGTAAGTAGTTTGAAATCAAAGCAAACCTTTTTATGCCGCTTAGCTTTGTGGAACTCAACTCTTTCATTTGCTGTTTTCTTGTCTCCATTTAGATTGATCTTCCTGCACCAGAAGAAAGAATGCATGCAAATAAATTTCCTATCTTCTTCTTCGGAACACGCGAAACGTAAGAACACATAAGCGTTTTTGTTCTCTCGCATTATATGAATTATCCAGCTTGCACAACACCATCTGTGGAAATTTGATTGTTTGTACCCTTTTGTTCATCTTACTGGCTAAAATACTCAGCAGAGTCATTTGTGATTTTTCCATTCTCAGCCATGACTGATCAGTTTACATCATTATTTTCAGTTTATACTAGGTCTTTCTATAACAACACTTTGCAAAATGACAACAGTCACTGGGTATGACTTGCAGTTGTATCTGAAGTACAGAAACAGCATTTGAAAAAAAAGAAACAGAAATAAGAAAGTAGAGAAATTCAAGGACTCTTCAAGACCTTATAAAGAAATCAAGTACTTTTCAAGGACCTTAACCGAATTCAAGGACGTTTCAAGATGACTGATAAAATTCAAGACCTTTTCAAGATTGTACAAACCTTGTTACCAGTTGGTTATATTCCATAACGAGGTTTAAGACACAAGTACATTCATGATTGCCAAGGGATGTAGAACAACACATGACATAGAGAAGAATATCTCTTGTAGGTAGGAACTCTTTTACAGTTGAAAGAAATCCCCATATGGCATAATAATGATCTATACAACAGTTGTAAGTATTAGGGAAACCAATAATATTGCAACACCCAGTAAGAAAACATTTATCCAGTGGATAGTGCTGTCCACCTTTTGAAAAACTGGGACCTGTTGTGGTGTAACCAGCAGTTGATGTATGTAAATGAAGTCTATGATGCACCGCGGTGAGATGTGTTTCCGCCACGTTTAGTCCCTGCCTGCTGTAACCTGTTAATTCTTTGTGAAGTTGTAAACACACGGTTGTAATAATTCGTATTCGTCGTTTCAGGAATACCTTGACATTCAACCTTGGACCGCCTCTGGTGTATCCCCCAGAACGCCTTCGTCCTCCGAAGAGAACAGTACATTTGGAATTTCAGAGTACTTTTATTCATAGGATTAACCTCTAGACTCTCCCTTTCAAATTTATGTAGTTATATATGAGTTTGAATAAACATGTATGTATGTATGTTATGTTAAAATATAAGCCTCCTCTACTTCTTTAATTTGGAATCCACAAAGAGAGGTGAACTTAAAGCAGTTTTTACTTAATTATATACACAAGAGTTAGAAAGCTCAAAAAATGTGTTCATCATCAGATGTTTCAAGAGTCATAGGACTCCGTTCGCATCCACGGTTGAAATTTAAAGCAAAAGAAAATGCTGTGTTTTGTAGTTATTGTAGACAATAAAATATTTTTGTTTCAAAGAAAAGACAAATTATCTGCATTTAGAAGCCAAACAGGTGACAACAGCTTTTGCCTTTATATGATCAAAAAACATAAAACAAGTGAGGTGCATAAGATGGCTAAAATTAATTGGCTCATTAACTCTGCATAATCCATTTTCTTAGGGAAACAAGAAAACGAAATAAATTAAAACTGTTTATAATTTGAGCTACCTCAGAGTGTTTCCTTCTTGGACTCAGCAGCGCCAAGAGGCTGACTTGGCCAACCAAAATATTTCATGGGAACCAAAACAACTCCTCATATAGGTTGATTTCCGAACTCAGATTAGTTTTGTCAACGTGGCTGTAACCTAAGAATACCAATCATACCTTCAAGGAAACGCCTTTCACTAAAGACACTAAAATATCGAACGGTAACGAAAGGAGAAGTTTAAGTTTGAAGTACTATTACCAAATTCTATCATTTAATACTTAAGATTAATTAGTCTTACCAATAAAGATGCTGCGTGCCGTGCAATGATGCAAAGATAGCAAAGATACTTCCGTAATTCCATCCAGTTCATCGCCTACAACCAAACGGCATATTTAGCGAATTAGTACTAAAAAATGTCCCTTATTTTCGTGAACATTCGGGAACTAAGCGTTGCAGCAATAAGTTAAAGTACCGTTTTAGGTTCAAGTAGTGTTTTTGCTGTTCATTGGAGACGCCTACACACAAATAGAAATTCCTTTCGTTTTTGCAAAGGAGCTCTGGTCGCCATACTGTTTCTTCTTAGGTCCAGACTCCACTCGGTCCCCTTTCTTTCGCGAGTGGCTCGCGAGTGGGGATCCGCTCCCCGCGCTTCTCCTCGCGAAACTTAGCCTGCGCATTTAGTGCACGCGTATTTTGGTTGGTCGTGTTCGTGATATTGTTGTAGCCGCCATCTTTGATGTTATGACAGTAGAAGATTGGGGAGAGCAGAAATAGTAACCCTTACGGTAGGTGCGAGGGCGCCCCCTCCCCGCTCCCTTTGACTCGCCCCATCTCCTCCTCTCCTAGGGAAGTTTCAACATGGCGCTTTCGCGAGCAAATTGCGCGCTAAAAGAAAACGCCTGCACCAAGAGACAGTCTCTTGGCCTGCACTGCAGGCTACGCGAAACTATACAAAATTGACGAGGGGACTGGAAATGAGATTAAGAAAATCCTGATTCCCAATTCCCAGTTTCTAGGTTTAAAAGATCTTGTTATGACTGGATACAACTGATCATCCGAGCTAAATAAATCACGGCGTTGTCTGCGAAGAGACCGACTGTGGATTTCACATACTGGCCGGAAGCTAAGGTCTTTTATAAAGGCCACAAATAAGCCCTGTTGGACTCCTGATGATACTGGAACTTGGTCAGACTTCGCTCATTAAATAATTATGTCAGCAAGCGCAGCTAAAACTTTGGCAGCGTTTTAATTCGAAATTCACTACTCAACTCTTATTATGAAAGATTGGGATTCAATTCGAATTTATAGTCTGCTGCCATGCAGGGGCACATAGTTGCAAAATAAACTACCAAGACTGACAGTGAAGACGTGTCCCTAGGACGAGGCATACCAGCCTCGTCCCGGGGGACGTCACGACTTGGCAACTGATATAAGGACGCACAAAACGAAACAAATAATGCCATTAGAGTAGCTAAACAGAAGTATTTCAAGTCAATAATCTGAAAATGAATAAAGGGGACCCGCGCAAAGCCCTGAGGACGAGGCCCCAGCCAACCACAAATGTCCCCGTTATAGGGAAAAGCCCTGGAAACGAGGTTGGAGGCATTACCTACGTCAAAATGCCAACATCAGCGCTTTGCACATGCATTTCCTTTTCACTAGTTTTATGTTTTTTCAAGACTCTGAACTCCAATTTTACCTTTGAATGTCCAACGAATGCTATTTTACAAAGAGTGTCCAAGACAGTGGCGGATCAGAGGGGAGGATCGGTGCCCCCCTTATTTTCGACCAGCAGTACAAATTAGTCTACCGCTGTGCATATGCTCGTACACAGAATGAAAACATGCAAATCAAGTGAAGAGCAGCCTGGTTATCTCTAGGTCTCTTTGTCAGAAGCAAGATCAGTGTTTTGGGTTTCCCTACCAGGAACACCCCAGTGTCAAAACTAATTTGGGTACGGGGTGATTTATGAACCTGAAGAATGGAATCATCAAATCACTTCGACAGGGCGCCCCTGCCATTTTCTATGGGATAAAACCGGGATTAACTGTGGGATAAAACCTGGTAGACTGCGAGCAATCTCTCCATTTGGGGGAGTCGCGAGAAGTCAGGCGAGTGCCGCACGCGAAAGGAGACGCATGTGCGAGGGGTGGGAAAAGCCTTCGCCGCTCGCTCGCGCGTTTTCTCGAGGCTCCTTGGTTGAACTAATAACCGAGCCTGCAATATTTGAACAGCTGTTATGCTTGATATGTAGTCGCTTGTGTACCAAGATATACTATAGGAATCATATATGAAGAACCTACCAATAAAACAAGATGGCGGTCGAAACGAAAGATGCGACACGTTCAGATTTGGACGACGGAATGGAGAATTCAGGTGAGCCTTGGAAACAAGATAATAGTTTGTTTCATTTAAAAAAGAACTATGGTGAGGAAAATCTAGCAATAAATAACGAAACCATTCGATGATCAGATAAAATCGATGCAAAATAACAGGTAGCTTCAAACTGATCGAGCGACAGGAAGAATTACTACACGTGCATGGTTTACTTAAAGAACGAGGAATACAGTGAAACCTCTATTAATTACAAGATATTTACAAAAGTGTACATAGTAGGAAAATAAAGTAGCTACAAATAATAATTAACTAAAAGATATTAAGTTCATTTGTGTACGGTGTCCAAAGTAGCAAGAGCTTTCTTGTTGGACACCGTCATGTTGAAATAATTGGCAGCAGTAAAGAGTGGAATAAAAATTATCTCAAATAATATCAGTGATAGAACATATACTATTCAGCGAACACCTCTATTAAGCAGACGCGGACACGTAAAAAACAGTAATAAAAAGGGGGGTCACCGGTCTCATTTCACTGCAAAACGATAACAAAGGGACAATTTCGGCTTCAAATGATTATGTTGTGCAAGGAGCAGGGGAGAGTTTCAAGACAAACACCTTTTTAGCCGGGTACAAAAAAAAAGTACAAGGACTACAAAACGGGCCATAATTAGCTCTTTTTCGGCAACCAGTGAAAATCGCCGCCACCTTTGAATTCACAATGTTATGCGCAGTAGGTGATGTGCAGTGCAAAACAAGGGAATTACCTCAAGATGAACCTAAATCTCCTATTTCAAGATGTGTGCCAACAAACATGTGAATGTCAGAAGCAAAGAAGAAGACTGATCGTGATGTTTACTACTCTAGCTTTAAAGAAATGATACGTGACATCTATCTCCCATTATCATTGCTGGAAGTCTTTCCACTAGAAAACTCAAGGCATCTCTCATGACTTTTTCCCATTTCTCTCTACTTGTCACAGCTCTAGGTTAAGAATGTCAAGACTTTTGCCTCTAGGGGGTTGGCAAGTCTGAGATTCTACTGAATATTGGAAATGATTTACTCCATAGGTGGGGATGAAAGCACTAATCAAGGCTGGGCAGATGCTATGGCAAGAATTCTTGAAAAGGACCTTCCAGAGAATAAGGTACAATGAACATTGTATCATGAAACGTTTGTTTTGATAAAGTAAAAGTGTACTTAGCTTTCAAGCCAGTAGGAAGGTACTCTACTCAAAGTAATAATTATATTAGATACAAATGAGTCAAAAAGAATGTAAAAGGATTAAAAACCCCAACTGGAATGAATAAGAAAACAACAGAGTTTGGCTTTCGTATGATGTGAAGAATTACATGTATGCAGATCTCAGAGGATGTTATCTACCTTGGCCTTCAGCCTTAGTAGATACATGTAGTATTCTCTTTGTTCTGCATAATTCTTCACATTATACTCAGCCTCAATAAATAATAATAATTCAATGTGGCATGTATTTTACTTTATCGTAATATTGCAATATGGATATCTTGTTTAAATATCAATATTCAAAAGAAAATATCACATACAGTGTATTAAGAATATTAGGGTGTACTTAGATGTCGGTACGTTACAGGTCAAATTTGGTTTCAGGTTAATTTTGATTGTTTCCTTGCCCTAATTCATGAATAATTAGGGCTAGGAGACAAAAGGAATTGAAAATCAACCTAGGTTGAATAAAAAAATTTAACCTGAAGTCAAATTTGACCTGTAACATATCCATGTATCAGTGCAGCCCTACCATTATGTGGCCCCTTATGAATAAGCTGTGTTATTTAAACCTTCTTCAATATTTTGAGTGGTCATTGTCATGTTTTGCTCAATTTGCTCTATTTTCAAATCTCTCTGTCTGAATTAAGCAAAATGTTTGGATACAACTTATTTAAACACGTTGGCCATTGTGTTTAAAGGTAACTTATTGAAGCCAGGCATAATTCATCATTTGACAAGCAATTTATTATTTTAATTTACATTTTACAGTAATCAAAGAAGAATATATAATTTATTGTTACTTTTTTATCCTATATTTTCTAGCCTCCTGTATTACTGAAGTATAAAAAAGTTGAAAAGCGCAGAGCAGAGATAAAGGAGGAAAGAGCTTCAAAGAAGGTAGTTAAAGCGTCATTGAAAAATGAAGATATCTAATATTTCTATGATTGATTTGAAAATGAAAATTTATCACTAAAAAGATGTCTTGGTGTTTCTGTTTTTTCATAGTTGAAAATAACTTTTTCTTTCAGTTGAAAAGCCAAGAACGTCATGCCATGCGTGAAAAAGATCATGTCAAACCAGATGGTTCAACGTTGGATTATGAAAAAAATTTGGTGAAAATAGCAACTCGAGGAGGTAATGATGAGTATCAAAGTAAAGTCCTCTTGTAAAATTCCACTATCTTATCCTCCTGAGCCAGTTTTAGGGAATTTATTGTGTTCTGGGTTTTGAGTTTAAACTTGTTTGGGGTCAGTTTTAAGCTGAAACCTTTCCTTCAGTACAGTCAAACTTCTCGCTATGAATATGCCTTTATCACTTATATAATTATACAGATTATCATTCATATAGTTTATTTCCTGTTGAACTGAAAAATGAATGCCTTCTTAGAGTACAGCTGTATGCTGTCAAACTTCCATCCTAGGGGGGTACTCTGGATTTCAAGTGACAGGGATGATCAAATGGAGGCAAAAATCAAAACCAAAAAAAATCCCTGGACCAAAATTTAACCCCCAAAAAATCCCATGCTGAATTTCTGAGCCATAAAAATTTCCAGAAAGCATTAAATAATATAACACGGAAAATAGAAACATTAGCAATGGAGTGTTTGTGTTTGTGTTTGTTTATTCATGACACCATCTGGAGTAAGAACCTTTTTCGCATCTGGTGGCCATAAAATAGTCGCAAAACAAGTTTGGTTTTACTTTATTCCCGGAACTACGTGGCCAGGATATAAGGGAACTATCACAAATCTTCAGATTGTTTTGAATACCCTATTAAATACTTGTCAAAATTTTCCTGCCCAAAAAAATCCTGAAATTAAAAATTTGGAGTACCCCTCCCCCCCGGGGATGTCAATACCATAAATAAGGCCCAGTTAGGGTAAAATTCCAACAAGAGACATGGCCTAGAAACAGTGACATAGATGAAGTGACAATAAACGACATAAAGATAGGTAAGATACCAACAGGGACATGGCTTACTCTTGAAAATGCAAAACAACTGTATTTAAAATTCAGACTTGAAACACACGTACCCTGTCTTAGAGGGCCTCATTGATATGGATCATCGTTGTCAGTTCTCAGTAACATAGTTTTTTACCCAGGGGAGGGGCCTGCTCTTCTTACCCCTTCCATTACACCAAAACTGAGGCCTGCAGGGCTGTGGCACCAAGAAAATAATTATTTTCCAGCGCATCCCTCTCCATCCTCCTTGAGGCCCTCTTAGAGGGGTTACATATCTCCCTGGTCTGAATTACAAAACTTGTCGTTTCACATATTGAGGAGGATGCCATGTTGCTGTCAGTATTTTACCATTGTATTTGCAATTTCTCTGTCGCTGTTGCAGTTGCAGCCCATCTTTGTGTTGTTTCTCGCCATTTCTGCTGTTTCAAGGCTATGATTATACCCTAACATGGCCTCCTCCTTGCCACAATGTCTGGATCCTGTGCTTCTTCTGTTGGTCTCAAAAATACCAAACATAGTGTACTTTCTCTACCTGTATCATTCTCTCATCCTGTCACCACCTCTGTAAAGTAGACTTTTCAGTTTGTCCCCTTGGTGTTTGTATTAATGATTGCTATACAAGGTAACTGTTTGCTAGATGCATTCTTTAACCCCTTTACTGCCAGAGTACTTGATGGAGTTTTGTAAGGCGACTCTAACGATTGAGTCTGCAGATGAAATCGTATGATGTGACCATTCAAATGAAAGCTCTCTGCCTGTACTTTCACATGATGCCATTTGTTTGTCACAATTTTAGAAAATGAAATGTGGAAATTTGGTCGAAATTTGCCTTTGACCACATTTGGCAGTGAAAGGGTTAAATCCTGGATAATAGATGTTTGTTGTAAATGAACCTGCTTGGTGTTTGCATTTTTCAGATTAAAAAAATCCATTCTAGATTTTAAAAAATATTAATGTAAAACCTGCAATGCTTGTGATTTGATATTAACAATCTGAGTGGATCAGTCCAATCTGGTCTGTAATCATATGAGTGATTAACAAAATAGCCCCTGTTTGATATATTAAAATTCTAACATGACTGCAAGACTTAAGGGTCAAAATTGCAAATTTTTTTATGACTCCATTGTCTCGCGATTCCCAGAAGAGACGCAAGCACAAAGAAAATCAAACGAAATTTAGAAATATGACCTGAAAGCCTCGGATACAGGTTAGAATTTTAGTATAATAGAACGTAGGCTATTAGACAACAATGTAGTGGGAGTCCAATTTGTTTAATCATGAGTATGATTACACACCAAATTGGGCAACATGAATAATTCATGTTGCCCAATTTGGTGTGTAATCATACTCATGATTAAACAAATTCTTTTTACCAATGAAGCATTACTTTGAATAAATTTGCGATAATTAAAGAACAAGATCATCTGATCATTTTTTGCCAGAAGTAAAACAAAAAAGCAGACTATTCAAGTGAATGCTGATGCCACATACTGTCCAATTACACTGTCCTGTTAATGCTGAAATCAGGTTGCTGAGAGCCAATCAGATTAGAGAATTTTGTTATAGTTATGGTTATTGGGATTAAAGATTAATTTACTTTTTTTATTTTTATTTTTGTAAATCTTATTTCAGTTGTAAAGCTTTTTAATGCTGTCAGTAAACATCAGAAGGAAGTGGAAAGTAAATTGAGTTCAGCTCCTACAGAGGCTAAAAAATCCAAAGGTGAGGGTCCTGAATAATGAGTGGCCAGGGGACATAGAGGCCTGCTTTTAAATAGAAGGCATTTTTTTCTTTCATTTGACATATGAAATGGTATGCATGTGATCCTCATTTCTCTCAAAACTGCATTGTCTAAAGCTCTGTTATTTATTTTTTCGGTGTGAACTTAGAGTGTCATGCAAACATCTCGGCAGATTTAAAACAGAGGAAAGATTAACTAATAATTCAACATACCAGTGAGTACTGTCTTTATGCCCCCCAGGACTTCAATCATATTTTCTCAGGAAATCAATGTGTTTAGATTAGTTTTATCTCATAAAAGAATTAGGATGAGATCCTTCGAGAATCTTTGTGCAGGAAGTTCATTTTGTCACCTTGCATATCTTTTGACAAGTTCACATTCAATGGACAAAGTAGTCACACCCCTGTCTAGGCTTTGATGTAGAATGTATAGATAGCCTTTTGACTCCAGGCCCCGGTTGTTCAAACATTGGATAGATCGCGGGATAAATCGCTGTAGTAGGGAAATCAACTGCATTATACGGTTGTTAGTGATTTATCCACTGGATAGTGATATTTACAGTCTGTACCTTTCAAACAGCCAGGCCTAGAGCACATTATCGCGAGGTTTTTTGTTGCACTAACTTTTTAATCTGTGGATGAAATTCTTTAGTGTTACCATTCAAATGAAACCTCTTTGGAATAACTTTTGCACAGTATTATATAATAATATTGTAATCCTCTTAGGATTTTTTCAAAACAAAATTTGAATTTTTTTTTTTCTTTTTCCTTGGCCAGGGTTTAGACACACCTTCATTTAGTGTTTTCTACAAATTTTAGGATCGTACAATGTATTTTTACTCTATACAAACACTGTAATTTTACTGGAACCGTACTGTGGTACTATCACATAGCCTGGGTTACCTGTGGACACACATGTATGAGACTGTGCAGAACTACAGAATGAAATGAACTGAAATGAAAATGTTTGGGATGATAATTCATTTTACCTTATATATGTTGCAGTTCAGTTTTATCCATAGGTAAATTTTATCTTTCTGTGTTTCAAACTTATTATTATACATTGCCATACCCAAAACAAAGGGAAATTGAACCACAACGTAATTAACTTAGACATAAGCTTATGGACTTCCTTCCCAAATCATAGACCTTGGTCTTACAAATTCCTTCCTGGGTTTTAGTGGTCTTAATTAATCTTTTTTAAGTCTCATTGATAATGTAATTTTTATCTTCCTTTCTCAAAGTTGTAGAATCGATGTCCAAATCAGCTTTTCTTGACATGCTAAAAAGTAGCTCAGACAAAGCAAGGACTCAGGAAATTAACAAGGAACAAGTTAAGGTAATTACTGTTATGATACACGAGTGGGTAACTCCTCTTTAAGTCTCCCAAAACTTTCTTAAACTTCCTTTTCAATATAATTTTCTGTGTGTATTAATGATATAAAGGTTACCGGAAATTGTGCAGAATCTTGTAGACAAATGTTTATCGGCAACAAATATATATATAATTATTTTAAAGCTCTATTGTTGTTATTGTTGCTGTTGTTTTCTTTTAATTCCGAAGAACCTAGTTGGGCTAAATGACGTTTTTCTCGTTCTGAAGACAAAATGCACTACATTTTGTTACTGGAAAAATGGACTAATGAAAATTTTCGAGCGGGAATGTGTGGAGTTGTGAGCAGCTCGTTTTTTCTCTTCACCCCCGAACGTACACGTTCAGAAAAAAACATACAATTCGCACAAGATTTTACGAATTTGTTTACTTAGTTTAAATAGCATTCCAGTTTTTAAGGCTAATCGTAGACGTGTTTACCGTATTTCTTCAAATAATAGCCGTCCCTCGATTAATCGCCTCCCCCGGATAATCGCCCCCCTTTGAAGGAAATATATAAAATAATCGCCTCCCTCGAATAATCGTCTCCCCCACCCCCCTGCGCCCGTCTCGCCATCTCCTCTTCATTTTATCCCCTCCCTGTCAAGTTGAAGTGCAATGTGATCCAGCAAAACTGATCAGTGACGATTCAAGCTCTGAAAATTAATAAAGGAACTAAATTTGGAACACTTTTAAAAAAAGCCCATGTTGAGTTTATTTGACGTGATTTTTTTTTTTACGTAATGGGAAACTGAAAACAAAATATTTAGGTCACGACTTACTTCCTGTGAGCAGTAGTTGAAATAATCGCGGCCTTCCCTCGAATAATCGCCCCCTTTTTGTGCGAAAAAAGAAATAATCGCCCCTGGCTATTATTCGAGCAAATACGGTGATTAAGGAATGGACAATCTCACCGTCTATCTGCTTGTGGAAGCGAATAGAGAAACTCTGGGTTTTCGCCAATAAATACTTGTTAAAAACAAACAAACATCCGCAGCAAGTGCTCTTACACTAAGATGCAATAAAAATTGCTAAATTAATCAGAGTGCTTACGCTCGATTTTTATTGGCTTTGATAGTAGACTCGCTTATTCGCCTCCCGTCACTTTTTTGCCTCCCTGCTTGCAGAGTCTACTTTCTGGTATACAGTAATGTAGTGAAAGGGAGACTCTGTTATAGAAAACGGAAAGATAGACCTTATTAGCAAGGAAACTTCTTTCAAAAGAAATCGATTTAGGGCCTTCTTGTTGCAATTATCACAGTCAAGGGCGTAGCGTGAGAGTTTTAAGGCGTACGCACGGAAAGAAAAGTTACAGTGCAAAAGGTGATACAAACTATAGGGGGGTTGGGGGGGCATGCTTCCCAGGAAAATTTTTAAATTTAGGGTTTCGGAAATGCCCTTTTCTCGGTTTCCGCAGAGCGTTTTCAGTAAATGAATACGAAGGAAAATGCAGCAGTTAGTTGTTTATTTTAACCATCTCTAGCGTTACGAAATAGTAAAAGGATAAAGGAAATACCAAAACAAAGACTCTGATATAATGCGAAAAAATCTTCAGCTATCTTGATTTGATGATAACAAATGTTTGCAAGAAAATGAAAGAAGTATCTTTTCCAGCTTTCAGCTGTACGCACGGGCGTATGGACGCTACGCTCCTGACAGTTCGTTAAATTGTCGCCATATAGCCCTTAACAAAGTCTTACATACATGTAGGGGGTAGGCTCCGCTCTGGGGTCCAACCCAGTGGCATATCCCGACCTTCAGATAAGGAGGTTGGGGGGGGGGTCATCCAGACAACGAAAATAAGGGGAAGGGGGCAGTCTCAAAAAAGATTTTTTTTGGCCCTTCGGGCCTCAGCTTGGTCTAAAAATAAGTGGGGAACCCCCCTCCCCAGGCCCCTACACTGGATCCACAACTGCAACCCCTTACACTCTTATTCAACACTTTTGTATGCCTTCCACTGACAAACAGTACCCCTTTCACATACCTACACAAGAACACTGTATCCCCTTTACCTGCTGTAACTGGCCCGTCTTTTAGGATGAATAGATCGTTACAACACCGGAAATCTTCCTGACATTTCCACAGCCATAAGATACGTCTTAAATATCGAAATGAAATATCTTCCTGATCCCGGGCTGAATAGCGTTTTTACTGTCGTTTCGTTTTCTTATTTCAGGCAAATGAGAGTGCTGAAAAAGAAAAACCTGACTTGTCATCTACTTGGAATATTTTACGAGACGACTTTATGATGGGTGCGAAGATGAAAGATTGGAACAGAGAGGAGCAACAAACGAAAAGCAAAGATAAAAAGCTCACGAACATAACTGATCATGAACTCGAAATGAATAACGCGGATTTTTATGAAGATTCTGATGATGGTGACAATGAAGATTCGGAATCGAATTCAGAATAGGATTAGACCTTTGGACAGGATTTGGATGATCAGAGCTATGCAGAAAATACCAATAATATTATTCTTTGAAAAACGAAAATTCCTGTCGTTCGAAGAGACTTGTTCGGTTACCGGTTGTTTCGATACTAAGTTGTTTCCATGCAGGTCATTTCGATAAAAATTTATTTATTCGAGGTGTAAATAGTTCCACGTACTTGGCTTAAAGAACGAAGATATTTACCCAAAATGTTTTTCTTGTTCGCTCGCAAACTATGAAGTGAACAAAATTTTGTGCCCTTGTTCCCTTTGTTTTTACCAAGTCAAGTCGAATTAACCGGTTAACACAGGACCACTAAAACAAAAGTGCCGCATAAGGTCATCTAACAACAAGACCATCATTAGAAAATTTGTTGACCGAACAGCATTTGCCTCTCAACATTGCTGATCAAATAGGGGAACCTTTATTTGCGTTCACAATGTTTGCTTTCGGGCTTAAAAAACCTGCTCAAACCCTCGAACACGCGGACTATCCACGGGCACAGGGGCTTCATTTCTCCTGCAAACAATTAGTCAGTTTTATCAGTTTGTAAATAAACTAAACCAACATTTGCAACTCGCTACTTTGTCCAAATTTGTTTGTCTCCGAAGTCATGCGCAGCTCAGTGTATATGGCACAAAGGCACAGTGGGGCCAAGCAAATAACAAATAATACAATGAACTTAACAGGTAAACATTCCAGCTGAGAGTACCTGCAGACCAGATGGTTATCGATCTCTAGGCAAAGTTTAGGGAGGCTTTGATTTTGGGCAAAATGAATGGACAATCAAGACTCACCTACTTTCTCCGCCGATCAGCGATGGAAAATACTGGACTTAAGCCTTTGTGCGACTTTATCCTGGATTTTTGGGGTGAAGGATGGGGTTGTTTTATTATTATTATTATTATTATTATTATTATTATTATTATTATTATTATTATTATTATTAATGTATTTTGTTATGTATTTACACATAATTCTGTTTAACCCCTTCACTCTTACACCACGTTATGATGATATGAGATTTTTTTGTTGCTCTAAAGTTTTGGACGAATTCCTAAGGCTTAACATTTCACATGAAACCTCTTTAACAGGGCTCTTCTCTAGTACTATCTCAGCATTTTTCCCCCTTTGGCCACTGTTAGTGTTAGGGGTGAAAGGGCCGGGTTAAGTTGAAATACATAAAATGTTTTGCGTTTTTACCTTCCCTACGCACATGCGGTCTCTAGAGAGGATAAGCTCGTAAACGTGCGGACAGCAGAGCCGCATAAGTTTGTATGCGTGTTTAAACTTTGAACCGACTGTGCCATTGTATTTTATATATTAAAAGAGAAATCTGCGCAGCCTAGACTCGACTGAACGAAAAAGGACTGCTCGTTATCTACGTGTGGACATGGCCGGAAACTACATAACAGGATTGAAAAAAAGTAAAACAAAACTATAGTGGACTCCCGATAACTCGAACCTTCAAGGGAATCGAAAAAAAGTTCGAGTTATCGGGAGTTCTAGATTTGTGACCAACAAAATCAGCCTCCACTAGTAAACTTTGCCTACAACACGTCAATGGGAAATGGAAAATTCAATGTTTCGGACGCCAGTAGACTGTCTTTTCCCGACTTTTTAAGGGCTCAAAACAAGGTTCGAGTTATCGGGGGTAAAATTATATAGAAATGATCTGAGGGGACAAAAAAGAATTACTTCGAGTTAGCGGGAGGTTCGAGTTCTCAAGGGTTCGAGTTACCGAGGGTAAACAGTAAATGTATGACGGAAATAAAGGGGAAATTGATTTTGGTTCGAGTTAGCGAGGGTTCGAGTTATCGGAAGTCAACTATACCTCTATTTATGTCGATTTTCCGCAAGGGAAAGTAGAAGGTTACGGATTGGGGGAAAAGCGGTTTTAGGTTTCCTTCTTTGCGGGTAGCAATTTGCACCTTTCACGCTGCACTAGCTTGCACTCTCAACCTAAACTCTCTCGAATAAAAGTGTCCTATGAGAACAGGTTTGGAATATAACCGTAGGCCAAGAAAGTAATAGCATCACGTGCCTCTTTTAACAGTTGGGACACGTACATATATATGTTAGCAACTACTATAATTTGCAGTGTGTCTACGTTGAATTGAATAAGAAAGAGTAGAGCGGAGACAATACTTACTGAAATTGCCACCCGGACTTGGAGAAGACAATGAGACCAAACGGTTCGATTCTGCCGGTTCTCCTTGGTGCATGAGCGTGTTCAATTCGTCTCTATCATATACTCAGTATACTCGCAGCCAATCTCAAAAATCAGTCCTTTAAGTTCCAAAAGAGTATGTCACTTTTTAAACTTATATTGCGCAAATCAACGAGTGTTCTACTCGAAAGCCAACCTAGCTCGCAGGCTGCGCGCATGTGTAAGATAGGCCAACGTAAATACAGAATTACTGCAGGCTGAAAAAGGGTCAGTTTTTCTAATAAAACAAAACAGTTTTCTTTTCTTGTCCTAAAAACGCCAAAAGCGTGAATTTTCATTTGCCAAGCGGAGAGTCCTTTCAGTTACACACGCCCAATTCCTATCGTTTGATGAATGCCGGTACTTCTACTGGAGCCTATAGCAAGCAACCATAACAACCATATGAGAGCCATATGAGAGAAAGCTGACCGACCAGAAGATGATGTTTTTGAAGGGATATCGCCTTACCTTTTCGTCAAGATTTTCAACCTTATTGCCTGCAGAGTTGACATGCGTTTTTAACCGTTTACTAATGCCTACTAATTAAATGTATACCACGCTTATTTCAGGAAGCATGAAAAACACATAAGGTTTCAATAAAATGGTCATTTCCCTTCATAGATTCCGCGAAAAAGTAGCGGAGAAACTAATCTTCATAAATGTTATTTAAGGTTTCCCTGAAATCAAAGTTGTCCCTTTTTGGATTATCTTCCGAGTGGCGCGTGTAAATGAAGACACACCTATGAATGTATGAAGTGTTTTTCAAAAATAATCAGATGTAATTCAATTCTCGCCTGGTCTGGAATGTGTTGATCAAGGTAGTCATTAATTTCTTGCCTAAACAAAGAAATCCAATTTACTTCCCAGAAGTAATCTTCTCGTATCTGTGGTTCACGAAGAACCAACCCGGCAGCGTGGTTGTGCGACCTCCTATAACGTAAGACACTGAAAAGAACTTTGGTTATTTAAAACCGGGAATTGGATTTAAAATTCTAGGTTTACAGGTACGCCTCAGGGTATAAACAAATTCCAGGCGATATTTCCACATGTCGATCGTGTTGTTAATAGAAACCAGAGAGAACTGCTAAAAGCCGTTAATATTTTAAGGCATCTCCGACAAAATGTTAATTAGGTCCTTAAGCAAACTATTTGTCACTTATGTCTGTGAAAAACATTAGTGGCACAATGGGTGAGATCGGCTCGTCAAAATATTTGCTCAGAGAAGTTGTAAGTTTTTGTTGTGCCAACATTCGCTATTTGCGTTTAATAACTTTCTAAAGTGAGATAGTAAGTCGTATTCACTGGTGATCGCATAAAGTGTAGCTATTTGTAAATGCCGTGAAAGATTTGATCGATACCACAGAGGTGAACTCGAAACCTCGAAGTATCAAATGTTGCTGGATGGACAAATGACACGTTAGCGAGCGTGGAAGCACTAAACGAAACAATAAAGTTGTCATTTACAGAACAAAGGAAAGCGACCTACTTCTAGTTGGATTTCGATTAACGAAACAATAATTGACAGTCGAGCTAATGGACAGGAAATGCGAATATATAGACATTGGTGATCATCGAATATCGTATTAGTCGGTTTCCTGACCCAAGAAGCAAGCTCGTATAAAATCTTGCTGACTTCTACGACTGTAAACAACAACGGAAGCGCGTAAAAGCGAGGTTATGGGTAAGTGAATTGTAAAGTACTTGTGGAGTTGTTTGAAAATATCTTACACGAGT